CACTCGTCACTAACCACCTCCCCTGCTAACCCCTTGTTGTCTCGTCTTACATCCCGACCAACCCCCCCCCCCCCCTCCACCCCAAACCCTTATTTTTTTCCTCTTTTGGTTGTAAGTTGTATAGGATGTCTACAGTTTATAACACTTACCCGATCGAAAATTTATCCATCTACTTGATGCCCAAGCAACCAGCGCCGGTCTATGCCGCTTGCCAATCTGAGCTCCTTCCTTCCGTCTTTGAAGAAGAAGAAGATGATGATGAAGTAGACATCACCATCTTGAAAATGGTCAAAAATGTGATGGTCAGAGTTCTGAATAGAGGTGATGCTTCCCCCAAGCCAAAACCGTCTTCCCCTAAGTCCTTTTCTCCTGCCCGTCTGCTCACTAAGACCTTCCCTTTGAGATCTTTCTTCTTATCATGACACAATATGTATCCGATCTCGATATGTCGATACTTGTTCTCCTTGTCTTTTCCCTGTCTTCTGCTACTTCTTCATTTACTTTTCCCGTATTATTTCTTTGATTGTTTCGGGGAGAGAAGTAGTGGAATTGATGCGGTCTTGGGGATATTTCCTTCCTCCACCCCATCCCCCTCCGACCAAGCTGAATTGGCGGAGGGGAATCGGTGACCTGGCACTGAAAGATGTAACAGTCCGTTGTGAAAGGTTCCAGCCTGCAAACCCAAGCCTTTTGCGCGCTTCTGCCGGGAGGAATTTCCACAGCTGACTGATACTGTGCCAGGTCTCCGGTTCCCTTGACCCAATCCATCTTGTTCAAGGGGGAGAAGGTACACAGGAATCCATACATCCTTGACTATGTTTAATTGTTAAAGGGAAGAGGCGAGGAGTCGCTGATATTCTCTCCCTCTTTGCCTGGAGTCACGCAGCTTGACTGTAAATGATTGATCAATTTGAATCCCGGAGAGGGTACAATGTGATCTTACCTACAGAGGGCTGACCTGTTATTAGGTTTCAGCTTTCAGCTTATTTCATTTTATCTTATTTTGCTATCACTAGTCCTGTATCATTCCATCGAAAAGTGTTGTTTACATTGATACGACGCTAATCTTGTGGGTGAGCAAATCGGCGGCCTAGGTAAGGCTGACAGTCGCATTATAACTGGAGGTCCGGGAGACTCCGGCATGCCTAGTCGAGTCGGCGGACGGGATTCACTTGGCCAAGCGTTTCCGCGCCTGGAGGGGACCTCCGGAGGGACTTCGGTTTGCGCACTCAGCGGTGTTATACTAACTCAATAGAGATATCAAGTTACACTACGGGCAATTAGGTGACGCTCCCGCGCGGAACGTCACCTAACCCAAGGGGGGCCCCTTTGGGTTAGGTGACGCTGCGGGCCGCAGCGACACCTGTTTGCCTGTAGTGTTAACAAGACGCGTAACGGTTTGAGAGTTGTCCGCACAAAGTGCTACACAATGTAGAAATTTAACTGGGTAGATCAATTTTTCCCAAGCCCCTCTTTCTATCTTCCTTTCCCTATCTCTCCGTCTTTTCTTGCCTAGTAGTTAATAGAGTAGGACGCGCAAAGTTCGACCCACAATGCTTCCTTCTGTACGGCTGAAGCTCTGTTCTACGAACTCAGAAAAACAATCAACTTATACACTCTGCTTATTAGAAGCGAAAGTGCTCTTTCCTCGACTATTGGGCTTTATGTTGCAGCCCAACAAGGACAACGATTGATAATTCGTTAAAATCTCTATACTTTTAGTCAGCAAAAAAAACAAGAGGGGGCTTTTTGGTTATTCTTCGATTCTTTCAAATAGATATATGTAAGCCAAGCTATTTGAAAAGATAAAAATAATTATGTTTAATGATCATACATAGGGAACAGTTTGTTTAGGGCAGTTAACATCAAGCCAAGTCAAAAAAAGAAGAAAAACATGAGTCAATAAATCAACAAAAAAATTGTTTCAAATGTTCAAAATGGGTCATGAAAACAAATGAGAACTTACGGAGCCATAGCCTCATGACTAAGAGGGCCCTGATCAGCGACAGCGACTTTCTCGTCATTGAAGAGGACCCAATGGAGGCCATTGCCAGGGTCGACGGAAAGAGACTTGGGAGTGCGAGCATGAACGTGAGCCACGTAATGGCCGCTGAAGACGGAGGGACCTTTATGGGAGATGAAGGCCCTTAATTTGAATCGAGCCGGAAGACTCTTGTCCCCATATCGGCGACCTGAGCCCGTCTCTTGTTCCGTCGACCCTGCAGTCCCGTTCTCGGCCGTTTCAGCAGTTGTTGTTGCTGGGTCGCTTGGGATCATCGAGCCATCGTCATCCGGATGGCTAAATAGCCATTCTACCGCTCGCTCAACATTCCCATCCTATTAAACCAACAAAAACACCCGAATTAAACATGTCCATGTCTACAGAGTGATAAACACGCCTGCTCAAAATACGGAGATGAGGCTCATTAAATAACATGTAACTAACCGTTTCAACCTTGAAGGGGGGCGTAGCTTGGTTAGGGGGTAAAGCCCATATCCATAAGCATCGACACATGTTCCTCGTTATGCGATTACCTGTGCTACAGACGGCGCTTCCTCGACTTTCCAAGCCCGGTAGATAGGTGATCGAAGCAGGGCGGAGATTTGGCTGATGAGTCATGAGGACTATTTTCAAAAACTACGCAGCGGAAAAAATAAGATGTACCTTCGACATCATCCATATGTTCGAATAACCAACTCGTGGCGCTTTCTACTCCCGAATCGCCCGTTTCTATGATAGCCTTACGACACTTGGCAGTCGGAAATCCCATACTTTCCAAGGCGGATAAAGTCTCTGGGTTCACAACTTTTTGGGCTATAACAGAACATTCCAAAGCAAATAGAATGGTTCATTCAAGAGCTATGACGGTTGGAAGGCCAGGTCAAGCTTACGTGTAGGTTCTTCAACCTCTGGTAACTTTTCTTCACCCGGTTGAATTCCGCTTCCGAAATAGTTTTCTAAATCGACTTGATGTCCTTGAATTATGACAGGAATCTCTGATGATGTTCAAGCCAGCTTCACATGAGCACCAATCTCAGAGAGATGACACTGTCGAAAGCTGAGCTGAGACAGATAACAAATTTGACTCACCAAGTTTTTTAGGAACCCAATTGACTATTGCAAACCTGCGCGTATGGATGGCCAAATATTTTGGGAAAGAAGCAATACGCGAAGTCCTATAAATCGGCCAAAAGGCCGATGCGATGTCAGCATTCTCTTGGAACTAGGGAGATGGATGATAGCTGATGATTACCAACGTCAACGCAGTCGTTTTAGATTTACAGCGAGGGCAGTTATACTCGACCGACTGAGGGGTGGTGAAGCTTTGGAGACAGTCTTCGAGAGATACTGGCTGGTAAGTGGTTTGACCGGGCGGAGTGATGCCTACCAGCTCGGGCTCTGTGGGTGGAGTGACAGGAACAGCTGGAACGGGAAGACTGAGAGCCTCCTGCTCTTCATAGCGATACCTAACACATTGACAAGTTGTACACTGTAATTTCTCTTCAAGTTCGAACCTAAAAGGTAACGTTGGATCCAGATCGTTTTCGGTCATAGTGGAGAGGAGCGAGGCTCTAGCCGAACTTTGACGGGCCTGACGCTGGATGAATTGAAACAGGTATCGCATGAATTCATCGGCATCTTGTTGTCGCATCGTGGAGAATTCCGGGTGACCCTTGCCAACAAATGCTTTGAACATCATTGGCTTAATTCCCTCTTGAAACGATTTGACGGTTGGAGCCGTATCGCTCGAGCCGTCTCTAGCCCGGTTTTCACATCTTGAAACAGCATACCGACCCGAGAGCATTCCGTGGGCAACTTTATTCATTTGGCAATCAAAGCAATCTGCTGGATTCGCCGCCTCGCAGGTTGAGCTATGTAGCTCAAATATCCCTTGGTAGTATCTTTTCTGGAACGGCGGTAATGCAAATAGGACTTGCAGAACGGATGCGATGTAGCAACTAGAGTGGAAAACCTTTAACAACGGTTAGTCGATTGAATTGTTTTTCAGCAATAAGATGAAGAGGCCTGCCTGTTGCCTAAATTCTTGAGACCCGTAAATCCAGGGCCTTCGATGGGATGTAATTCACGCCCTTCTTCGCCCGACATGGCGAAGTCGAATTTCATGTTATGTTCAACTTGCTGTAGAAATGTTCATGTGATAAAAAATCATTTGATATGAGAAACTAGTGAAACAGAAGCGCCAGACACTTCTAGCTGAGCTTGAAGTCGTAAAAAAATGTAAAAAATGAATAGGGACACACAAGTTCAGTCATACTTTTTTCCGTTTTTTCTTGTTTAGCTATCTCGATTGCGAAATGAGCGAGATGTTCCTGTAAACGATCATCGGTTCGCGCATCATCACAGCTGTAACAATAAAGATCTGATTGCAGGAAATTAAAAGAAAATAAGCCATGGAAAACGTGTCTATGACGAGGATAAAAATAGCAAACCTGCAGTGCCTTCAGCAGTAATCGTGCCCATCTTGACATTGACGCAATGTCCCGTCTGCTCGTAATGTTGAAGGGCGTGGCCGTTTCCGCCCGTTCCGCCGTACTGAGCTCGACCGCAACCCAGCGAGCCACATTGGAGACAGAACCAAAGGTTGGATGATAATTCGCATGCATGACAGGTAGCTGAAGCTGGACAAAAGTGCAGGATGGATCGTTGGTACGCTTTGCTCGTCTCTCTTCTAAAAAAACCCGACACTTTTTCTTTTGCTTTGGATGGGAGTGATTTACCTTGAGCAACCGGGGCTGGGTTGGGGTCTTGGTTCAAGTCAACCACGTGGCGACAGGTCTCGATTTCTTCTTCCCAAGCTTTGACTTCGCTAGCTTGTGTCGAGGACGACGCCGAAAGGATAGCGGCAGCGGCTTGCTCGATCTTTGCAGGCCAGTTATCCCAGGCGTACACAAAAGCAAATGGTATTATGAAATCTTTGATTTTGAAGGGTGAGTCAATGATTGATTCCGATTGCTTACTTTCGGTTCCGCAACTTCTGAGAATGAAAATTGTTTTCTCTCATCGACAGAGGGATAGTAGATCAGCGAAGTCTTGATATCGAATTGGTCTTCAGTCTGCTCAGTGATTGCCAATTTCTTGAGTGGGGGTTCAGCGGAAGGGCTACGTTGATGTGAGTCAGGTTTACGGGTACGTTGTATGTTCATAGCAAGCAAATGTCCGGTCTTCTTGGCGTGATTGGAGGCACTAGGATCCGCATGATGGACATAGGAGGTATCAGCGGGCTGATCGATGGAGCCATTATAACCAAAAATCGAATCAATCAAAGGACGTGTAATTACTGTTTGAAATGTACGCAACCACCGTTAAAGCAAGTCAGACAGACATCGATTCCCGATGGATTATCTTGCGAATCTACCAAACGATCACAAAAATCAATCAGCAAAATCCAGCGGTATTCAAGGCATGAGAAAAGGAAATGAGTAAAACAAGATTATGTTTCAGCTCACCAAAACATTGTGTACATTCCTCACGGTAAACAACCGAGCGAGGGGTAGGCAAATTGACCTGCTTGAGCAGTTCGGCCAACGGAGGAAGGGCAGACTGCGCCATCTGGGGTTGATGGTTGAGGATGGTGTCAGCATTCTGTTGTGCTGATGATGGTGAAAGTGTGAACTCACGATTTCCTTGTGCTGTATTCTGATTGAGATTGTTGTTGTTCTTGGATGTTTTTTTTTTAGGGTTTTTTCAGAGATGCACAGGCGCGTCGATCAGTGTCGTCACCACCATATGTATTCTTTCATCCAAGCTTTACGATTGAGTCTTCCATTTTTCGACAGCTGTCATCAACATTCTTCGTTAGTATAGAGGTCAGTATACCCGCTTGTCACGCGGGTGACCCGGGTTCAATTCCCGGACGGAGAGTATCCCCCGATCTTTTGGCGATCATAGCTTGTCACCTCCGGCGCAACGCAGGCGGGGCCGTTGTTTTGTCCCGGTGGGCACACAGCCGGTTCTCACCTCTTCCTCTCGGCTAGACCTGTATGAACCGGGTGGAGCAGGGGAGGAGGGGCGGCACCTATTCACCTCTCCCCCTTTTCCAAGCAGCACGGCCAATGAAGGAGCAGATGAAAAGAGGATCTCCCTCATCCCCTTCCACCAAGCTAAATCGGTTGAGGGGAACCGGCGAACTAGCACAGAATCAGTCCGTCGAGGAAAAATTCTCCAACAAAGGGGCACAAACGGCTGGGATTTGCAGGGAACTAAACTCCGCGACGGACTGATACATCTTTTGGTACCAGGTCACCGACTCCCCGGATCCGACTCGGCTTGGTCGAGGCAGATCTGGCTGGGAGGAGGAGGGAGGAATATAACCTCATTTCCTCTGCTTGCTCTCAAAGACAGTGAAAAATTGTATGAGGGGAAAAAGAAGAGCTCGAAGGAAGAAGCAATAGAGAGGGGAACAAAAGGAAACAGAGAGCACAGATGATCACAAAACCCAGATTGAAAACTGATGAAAAAGACTGGAAACTCAGACGAAAACAGATTATACCCTTAGAGGTAAAGATAGGAGGAATGAAAAACACAGATGATGTATATTGTGGTTCAGAAGAATCTACTCAGAGCTACCGGAATTAAGACTGTTAGTACGGAACCGAGAGAACTTCGAGGGCAAGGTCTTTGCGAGGAGACGAGCAGGAGAGAACGACTTGGGGGAAGACGGTTTAGCAGGATCACCTCGAGTGAAAAGTTTTGCCATCACATTCTTAGCCTTTTGCAACACAGTGAAGTCGACCTCAATTATGTCATCATCATCATCTTCGAAAACAGATGGGAGGAGGTCGGATTGGCAAGGGGCATAAACCGGCGCCGGTTGCTTGGGCATCAAATAGATGCAAAAGTTTTCGATTGGGTACGTGTTACAAGCTGCTGCAGACATCCTATCAAAACAAATGAGGTTGAAACAAGGGTTTGGGGTGGGGATGGGAGAACAACAAGTGGGGGGTGGTTTAGTAAAGAGGGAGGTTAGTGACGGGCGGGGTGGGTTTGTTTTTGTGCAGAGGAATCTTTTTGTGAGGGGAATAGTTTGTGTGGGAACAACAGGATAGCAGGTCAGGTCAGGTCAAATGGAGTGGTGTGGATGGGATGAAGAATGGACAAGGGGGCACCGGGGCTCTTCTCTTATAGGAGTGGCCTCCGAGGATCCAGCTGACCAACAAATGGACTGGTCCATATTCCTGCCGTGCCGCGGCTCTTACGGTCCGAGGCCCAGTCGGCATCAGAATGAGCACCTGCAGGCCGTCACAATATGAGCCAGCCGGAGTCGGCAAAGAAATCGCTCGCGCACCGGGGATCTCTTGGCCCGGAGACCAGTTGATTTGAGGATGTGCCCAGACGGCGTCTGTAGCTGATGTTTGGCGGCTCGGCAAATCGGCCTCCCCTGCCAGTCCAGTTCCGAAGGCGTACCATTCCGTGGTCCGGATTGCCTAACGCCCAGTCGGCTTCAGAATCAGTGCAACCGGTGTTTTGTAGCGCGAGCCGACTGGCCAGAAAGATCACCGCCCCTTCCCAGCCGGTGTCAGAATCCACTACGACAGACTGACTGGCTGGCGGCCTCGGGTTCACGAGCCATCTAGTTCTTGTTCAGTCGCCGAAAATCATGAGTGGGCGACCAGGTCGTGCCGAGCTGCTGGCAGCACATTATTTTGTGACCAAGCGGAAGGGCGCACAATGACCGTCGCCTCCCATGACGAAGTTGTGGCCGAAGAATTGACATCCCTCCCAATTGGGCCAGCTAGCTCTCCAATTCAGTCCGGTTCGTTAATCGGCATTGGTGATTACTTTATCCACGGGCCGAAGAGAGATTTTCCCAACCCTGGTTTAATTGCTGCTTGGCTGCTTCCGAAGGTGGTACTGCATCCGGCTGTCTCTTCACCCCTGTTGTAACAGGATGCCGAACGAGTAGGAGTCCTAGGACCACATATCATCCATCACTCAGCATCTCCGGCTTGACTTAGGTGCCTTAGGCCCCAAAAAAACTTTGGGAAATGTGGTTGTTGTGAAGTGCGAGGAATCGGCCGGTCACCATTGATGATCCTGCACATTCGGTGAAATAATTCAATTTCTTGAGCGGTATAACTGAATAAAATGTCATGCACAAAAATCGGGGGAAACACCTGCCCTGGAAGTGCCAAAACTTCTTTCTGAAAAAGGGGGTTGCACAATCCATCTGGGATTGCTTATATATATGAACACAAATGACGTGTCTGAAGCGGTGTTACATAAATTGTCTTTCAAAGCAAATACAAGAGTCAACTGAAAAAAAAGTGAAAGATGTGTCCGTAAATCTAGTACCTCACGAGGTGGTGACTGGCAACAAATTGTAGGAAGGAGTAAAATGTAAGGAGAGTTCATATCATTAACATTGAAGGGAGTGTTCAAGTACCAAGGCCATCAACATCACCATTTCAGGCTGTTACATTATAAAATGTGTAGAATTTTATGGTATAATCCAATAGCCTGGTTCACAATATCCAGTTCCAATGGCTGATTGACTTGTTAAAAGTTGCTGATAGCAATTCTTTTTGGGTTGATCTGGAATAATCTGGGGGACTCTGGGCTACACATTCAAAAATGGATGTGTTTTTAATTATCAATGATTTGCTGATTGCAGCTAAAAATTTTGCTGATGACTGGCTATTGTGAACCGTGCTAATTTCTATAAAAATCAACAGTTCATTTTTAATACTGCAATTAGACACTTTTTTCAATTAATTCTTTACATGTTATTTCTCAATATTTTTTGACATTTTAATTTTTTTTTCCTACACTTTGAGACATGTTAAAAATGATGGTAATAATCTCTTTGCATGAAAATGAAAACTCTTTCTAAATTGTGCATTTGACATGGCTTTTTAATTAATCTTTACAGGCTTATTATTCATTATTTTTTGGGATTTTAAATTGATTTCCTGGATCTTGAGAGGTTTAAAAATTTACGGTCTTACCCATTTTACATAGAAATAAAATTTGTATCTGGTAACAATTATGCAAGAAATGGGGTAAGCTCATATATTAGGGGGGTTCACAATAGCTTTTCACCAGAAAGTTTTTATTGTCCCACCAGAAAGGTTGGGCATGCTGCGCAGGTTAAAATTTTAGTCAATTTTTAACACACCACAAAAGTTGCACCAGAATTGCTGCCATTGTGAACGTATTGGCAATCACTAAGTTCCACATCACCACTCAAGTTCTCAACTGCTCCAGCACATTCATTTCAGATCACCACCAATCAGCTGCAACAGAACACCAGATGGTGATGACCAGTCAGAACCAGTCATCACCATTTTGGGTCGGCCATTGATGGTGCTGACCAACTCATCAATGGTGATGACCAGTTGGTCATTGATGGAGTCAACTGGTCCGTCATCGTGATGAACGGTGTAAGACTCAAAAGTGGTTATGAAAACCCTTTTGCTGAATGGAGAAGGGTATGTTGGAGTTGCAAGCTCTGCCCTTCTATACTATCAGAATAACAAGACCACCAAGCTTAGCTTGGCAGTTATATTTATCGTGATAGCAAGCGAGTAGTTCAAGATGAGGCTTCCGAGTGATGTGTATAAGGG